AGGGAGGGAGGGAGGGAGGAAGGGAGGAAGGGAGGGAGGGAAATAAAGAGGGAGGAAAGGAGGAAAGGAGGGAAGAACAAACAAACACCTAACACCCTACCACCATCCCGTAAAAAACAACAGAACCAAAGCAGCCCATTTCATTTCCAGGCCAAAAAAACAAGAAACTGTAAAATAAACTTGATTTTCCAAAGATGCTTGCCTCTTTTGTGCTTTCTTCATAGAAGCACAAGGATCCAACTACCTTGCTAGACATACATGTGAACTCTTCTAAGGAAATACATAGCCTTGAGAAGCCTTGAATCTGCTAAAAATTCAGAATTAAGAACAATGGTAAGAATCCATTTTTCTAATGAAAAATTACATCTTATAAAATAATATTACAAACCCTTTACACAAGCAAAATACAGGCACTTTATACAAGCAAAATACAAACAGAGTGCCAACACCTTGAAGAAAGAAACCACCGGCTAATCTTTAAACACAACGTAGATCTACCGAGGCACTGGTCACACTAAAACTGGTGCTAAACATGTTTTCCTGTGAATAAATGTTGAGTAGCTGGCATTAAATAGCAAATCTTTTTCACTGTACCTTTAAGTGTCTGATATAAAGATGGTTAAGCGTCTGTTGATATTCTAAACCAGTAATCGAGTAGAAAAGAACTAAGATATGGGGTACGTACTATGTGCCATATACCCTGTTACACATTCCCTATGAGGAAAACACTGCCATGTCTGTTTCACAGCTAATAAACTGAGATTCAAAAAGATACAATGGTTTTTCCAGGGTAAGCCAGCTTGAAGACGATAAAGTTTTTATCCAAACCAACCTGACTTTAAAACTTTTCCAACTGTATCATATTTCTTTCCAACCAGAAATTCAGAAAGCCAAGTTTGTAGAATAATGAATTTTAGTTCTCTGATATACAATATTGAATATACAGTTTATGTTTACTTTGCCAACACCCAAAGAAAAGCTCATTTTCTTTCACCTACCTCATAGTGATAGATGTCAAACTATTCTGCAATGTTTTCAGTATGACTGAATTCAAGCTACTAAAAAAGTAATAAATGGAGAGAAAATTATCTGTCATGATCACAAGTCTTTTAATCTTAATATCATAATGAGCACAATTGGAGAATCACTAATCCAAAAGGATCAATCATTTCATTTTCTAAAAATGGGAAAGGCATAGAAATATCTCAGCAAATAGAGAGGTGCTTCTCCACAGAATACATTTGGTCCTTTTGCTTAAAATTAAAAGAAAGATTATGTTTGTTCTAGCCCTCAAAAGTTTACTGTTCACTGCTGTCTTTCCCCTACCAAAGAATAAAGATCTCAAAGGAAATATCCTACCTTAACATAATAAATATAATAAAATTTATATATAATAAATATGAATAACAATTTTTAAAATAAGTTCTCAAGTTGTTCTTTCCCATTTCATAACCCCTCCCCTCTTTTTCTTACTTAAGGTCTGACAAGAGGCTGGACACAGTGACTCACGCCTGTAGTCACAGCGCTTTGGGAGGCAGAGGGGAGCTGATCACTTCAGCTCAGGAGGTTAAGACCAGGCATGGCAAAACCCTGTCTCTACAAAAAATACAAAAATTAGTCAAGTGTGGTGGTTCATGCCTGTAGTCCCAACTACTCAGGAGGCTGAGGTGTGAAGACCGCTTGAGCCCAGGAGGTTGAGGCTGCAGTGAGCCATGACTGTACCACACTGCACTCCAGCCTGAGTGACAGAGTAAGACCCTATCTCAAAAAAAATAAAAATAAAAATAAAAATAAAAACCTACCAGCCTGGACAACATAGTAAGATCCTGTCTCTACATCTTTTCTTTTTAATTAGAAAGTGTGGTGGCATGCACCTGTAGTCACAGCTATTTGGGAAGCTGAGGTGGGATGTTCATTTCAGCCCAGAAGGATAAGGCTACAGTGTACACAAATCAAGCCACTGCACTCCAGCCTGGACAACAGCGTGAGAGTCTATCTCATTTTTTTAAAAAAATCAGACAGGCTAGGTCTTAAACCAAATCCCCAGTATCCCCAGCAAGATCCCATGAGCTCTCTAATTCAGAGGAAGCTACTTTCAGGGTCCTATAAAATAAATCACTCTGTATTCAATACTCTCAGAAAATAATGTTTTAATCTGAATGTGCCCTACCCACAGTATTTTTGCATTTATAACAACAATACACTTAGTATTAGGGAGCTAAGTAACAGAAGAACACAGGGTACATTTCTTCAAGGGGGACAAACACCAAAATATGAGACTATTTAGGAAATAATATGACATTAAAATTAAAAACAAAATCCAATGAAAAGAATAGGATGCTACTGACCCCTTCCCCTACAAAAGTTGTTACAGGCTTATAGATTATGTAGTAGAAATAAATTTGCAGTTTTTCAGGATTCTCTGGCAAAAAGTTCTTTGGAATTATTTTCTTCTAAGAGCTGAAAAACATTTTTTTCCAAGATGCTGCCAGCTCTATAAACAACCTTTCTGATCTCTTGAAAAGTGACACCCAGCTTTCAATAGCTCTATGTACTTTTAGTTTAAAAGAAAAAAGTAAAAGAGAAGAAACCATAGCCAAACACTAAGTGTACTCCACTCGTGCCTTAAGTTACATATAATGATTAGAAGAATGGTTCAATTTCTTTTCCTTTTAAGGTAGAATATATACATCTATGCCACACATATAATTTTTACTAATAAGGCGGAAAGTATCCCCTTTCCTATCAAAAAATCCAGGCCAAAAAAAAAGTTTATCTGAAGACACAATTGTGAACAATCAGTTTTTTCTCATGAAATCAAAATGGCTCATAAGTTAGTAACACCATGACAGGCTATGTTAATACTAAGGCAAGACAAATGGTTAAAGCCTGTATAAATAATACAAGGCACTGAAAAATCTAGGTAAGCCAAAAAGTCTATTGATATTTTTTTACATTTCTATAGAAGCCTACTTTAATCTTCCCATATGAAATGGAGAGAATCTGTGGAATTACTATGATTTTTAAAGAATTTTTTTACTACAAAATTCACTGTGATTAGTCCCTTAAATAACTTGTAATATTTCACATAGCATATTCCTGGAATAGTTCACATTTCAACTTACTATTTTTGAGTTGTCAAGACACAATCTAATTCTAACAGGAAAATATCTGCTGGCTTGAAACAGCACTTAAACACAAAGAAGGAAAGTTAGAAGTCAAGAATACTCATTCTGAGATAAAGGCTGAGTAGAGCACAAGATGAGAAATCAACTAGAGACCTTATCGGGATGCAGTGCTGCACTTTGCTACATTATCACTGACTGTAACCTCCTTTCCAGCTCACAGGCAACCCTCGACTTCTCTGGGACTAAGTGATTATTTTAGAAAGTTCTTGTGTAATACTTACTTTTTTCCTACGATCCTTATCAGAAGCATGTATACTTAAGTTCCATAAATTGCATACTCCAATTACCCACCCCACTACCCAACCCAAGAGAAATAATCAGAAGTGTAAAATGCAAAATTCATAAGAAAAAAAATAATGAGGATGATTAGTATTTAAAATGGACCAGTTGATTAAGGGCATACCCATAGGTAAATAACATCAACACTATGTTCCTGATGAGTATAAAAAGAGTAAAATAAGTTATTTTTTCAAACAACTTCCTTAATAAATATATAGTTAAGTTCCTAACTTTAAAATAAGTTGTGTTACAAAAGCCCATTTCTTCATGAAGCTGTATTTCCCCCATAGAATACTCTAAGTGGCATTCCATTTCCAAAGCTGGCCCACCAATACCCACCTAACCCATAATCTACTGACATACATACAACAAGGAATAAAACATGGTAAAAGTACTTGCAATGCTTCAAATGCATATTCATAGTTCAGGTAAAAGGAGAGCAGCCTAGCAAAACAAAACTCACAAAACGGGGTTCACATCACCCAGAATATTCACACAAGTATATATATGGGCAACTTTCTCATAAGAGGAATCACAGCTTTTCTTAGGTTCTCAAAGTGGTTGTTCATGTACCCAACAAAAAGAACTGTGCCCCCTAAAAATGTAACCTCCTTCCTAAAAAGCCCTCAGGTAGAGTTTACCAGTAACATAAAGCATCTTGACAGGTATGGTCTACAAATGCATACAGAAAACAACTTCATAAATAGAAAACTGTGCAAAAACCTTACAGAGAAACTAAGTGAAGAATCTCCTGGAGAAAAGAACACATTCCAAAACAGACAGGGTGTGAAGTGCCCACATAATATGATACATAAGTTCATGTGAAGTAGGCGCTGATGATCCTAGTGACATTCATTGTCAAATAGATTTCGACTAATCAATAATGTTTATACAGCTGACTCAGCTACAGAGGCAAACATTCCCAATGTTTATGTTTGCAAGAAGTCCACTTAAAATTCTTTTCCATACTAGTCAAATCACAAAAGCAAAAATTTACCGCACCTTTGCTACCAAAAAAAAAAAAAGAAAATCCATCTTTTATCTACATGAAATCCAAACAAACAAAAACATGTATTTAAATGACCCAAACATGTAATATGAGTGAAGATACTATTTCTATTAATTGTAATCAAGAAAACTTGGATTTCTTTTTATATAATTTTAATGTGACTTGCAACTTAACCCAAAAGTTTCTATAACTGATATAATGCAGTTCAGACATTATTATTTTCTTAAATGAGGACAGTTGATTGCTTGCTTGTTTTTGGGTTTTGTCAAAAGTAAATTTGAGCTGCATATAACTTAAGGCTGTTTTAATGAACAGTGTAATTTCAAACTTACACCTATCTAAAATATTCTTGTTTGCCTACCTCTTCATCTCAACCCATGAATCCACAGCTAGCTCATTAAGGTACTTCATCTCTTTTTCCTTTCCCAAAACCTTATTATACTTTTTAACACATTAGGAACTAGGTTTTTTTTGTTTTTGTTTTTTTTTAACAGGAACACTTTTCACAAGAGAGTGCCACTTACCCCTCCTGCCTTCAGCAACTTTCTCCTAAAGTCCTCTGTGGGGTTGTTGAAAGTTAGCTTTTCACAGCGGAGGTGATTCACTGGTGGATGGCCTTCAAGATGCAGGAATAAGTCATAATCAAAGCGGACTTTCCTAGGTTCTTCCTGGAGGTTAACAAAAATTATGAAAGAAAAAAAAGAGTGAGGCATAAGTGAAATTTTAAAAGCAAAAATTTATTCCTCATAAGAAATAGAAAAGACCTAAGACATCTAAAAGCTAAACTGTCAAAGTAGTACTGGGATAAAAAAGTATGGAATCATCTATGAAACAACATGGAAATATCCAATAAATCAGCTTCTTGTGTTAGGGGAAACAAAATAAGAAAAAATTCTCATCTTCCCCATGATCTTTCAGGTGATGGGATACCAACAACATAGCCACCCAACTAGAAACCAAGCACATTCTTTTCTCTTCCCTACCCCACTACACTCACCATCAAAGGCTGCCGTTTTCTCCATAAATATTTCTTCAACAAGCCCTCTAACTCCTACTACCAGGCTCTTACTCATGGCCCAAACTACTATCAACTCTCGACTTTGGGACATATTCTCTTCAATTCCTCCTCCAACCAGGCCAGAAGATTATCTATATGAAACAAAAATCTAGCTATTTTCACTTCCTAGTTAAAATTACAACAGCTTCCAATGGCCATTAGGCTAAAACCCCTAAACTCACTTGAATGCCACATAAGGGCCTTCATAATCTATCTTTTGGCTTCATATCCCACCACTCCCCTCTGTCTATCTGATGGTCTAGCACCATCCCACTGCCGGTTGCTTCCCAGTACCTACCATGTTCTAGGTTAACTCTGGTTTCATTCTTGCTTTGCATTACTACCTTCACTGCCTACCTCCATTTCACCTACTTTTTTACCTTCATAACTTCTCACCCTTCCCAACTCAAGATTTCACTTTCAGGAAAACTTCCCTGAAATCCCTCCCCACTGCTCCTCCTCTATTCTGTGTGCATCTTTCTCTTACCCTTGCCACATCTTAGAATAATTGCCTTCTTATCACCATTTACCTTGCTGCATCAGAAGATTGTTGGAAGAAGGAACAATGTTTGAATCAACACTGTACTCTCAAAAACTAATTTATGCCTATACACAGTAGAAATGCAATAAGTATTTGTGAGATTAATAAGAATGGCATTTTTTGCTGAATAACTAACTAGGACAAAATAGCATCCTATGCAAAAGAACACAATAATTAGAATTTCATGATACCCAGGTTCAACTCCCAAAAGCCATTACTTAAGTTGACTAAACGTTTGCCCCTCTCTACATATTGATCTTTAGCCATGCAAGGTGAAAATACAGACTCAAGATAATGATGACAACTAATATATACTTTAATATTCATCTCATTTAATTTTCACCACTCTCTTTGGAAGAGATGTGAGCCCTGTTTTGTTGTTATATTACTAATACATGATGAAACAAAATGATATGAATCCATTTCTTTTGAATCAAAGGTCTTAGCACCTGAAATTGTCAGAATACAGAAATTAACTACTCAAAATTCATGGTTTCCACCTCCTCATCCAAACTTCCCAAATCACAAACTCTACTCATTTCCTCACTACCCCTTCACTTCCACTACAATCTGACGTGAAACTTGCTTTTTCTCTCTCTTACCAGGATGCCATTCTCTCCTGGTTTTCCTCATAAGAAAAGCTGTTCCTTCTCAATCTTCTTCATGGACTTTTTTCTCTTTCTTCATTGACCTAAATGTCCTTTACCTTTCTGCAAAGTTTCCCAAGGAGATGACACCCATTCACAAGGAGTCCGTTCCACCTATGCGACAGTGACTCCCCTAAGCGTTATCTCCAGCCCAGCTCTCATTGACTGCCACATACATGTGTTCCACAGGTTGACTTATAGCAGCATCTAATTCACGCATTATGCTAAACTAAAGTTACCTTCACATGTCTTTTCTCCTATCCTCTATTATCTTGGAAAGAGCAATTCTAACTGCTTGCCAAGGTTAAAATACACAAAAGCCACTCCCAAGTGTTCCTTCTTCCTCATTCACTACAGTCAAATTTTCTCCAAGTTCTATTTAATATTCCTCCTTATGAACTCTCAAATCTACCACATTTTCTCTAAGGCATAAACATTGTCCTAGCTTAGACTGTCACCGTTCCTCATTTGATCTCCTCCCTGATTTTGATCTTACCTCATTCTGATTCCCACAATGACCAAAAAATTATCTAACACAAAAATCAGATTACAGCTTTCCACCGATATAAAAGCCTTTAATGGTTCATCATTTTCTGCAATAAAATCCTACTTCCTTGGAATAACCATTGCAGTCTCCTACTACCTTTCCCATATTTCTTTTGATTTCTTACTATACTCTGTTTTCCCACAATTTTGAAGCATCTGCAGTTCCCTAATACTTCATATTAACTCACTCGTTTGGCTTTTCACAAATAGTGCTCCCCACATCTAAAACGTCTTCCTTTCCAGCATAGCTCCTTCTTTATTGCCTAGTTAATGCAAACTCATTATTCAAAACTCAGCTAAAGCATTAATTCCACTGGAAAGTCTTTCTGACCTTCCCAATATAATCTAAATTAGACATTCCCTCATAGCATTCCTCTACTAACACAATTATCACACTGAATTATGACCATTTTTTATTTATCTGTCTTCTAAGTTATAAAATAGAAGATGCAACTTTAGAATTAATTTTAAAAGGAGAACAGTTTTCTGCCATGTAACTGGGAGCATGAACTGGTAAAGCCTTATTGGTAGATATCTTGGCAATATCTATCAACATACTAAATACATATGATGCTGGTAAAGGCTTATTGGTAGGTATCTTGGCAATATTTATCAACATACTAAATACATATGATGCTTGACCCAGTAATTCTATTTCTAAGAACCTCTTCCATAGAAATATTCAAATATAGGTACAAAAACATACTATAAAATGTTCGTAATAGCATTGTTTATAATAGCAAGAAAATAAGAATGATCTTCATCATTACCACATAATACCATTCAGGTGTTTAAAAATACTGACTTTGAAAGGCATATTGCTAACTGAATTAAAGGCATGTCACAGAAAAATATTAAGTCATGCTCCTGACAGTCTCTATGCTGACACACATTTTATCTATGCAAATACGTGGAGGGAAATCTGGGAATGCTGTACCCAATAATTAGCAATCATTAAATGGAGTCAAGGAATAAAACTCCTAAGTTCTATTCTGTATACTTTTCCTAGGAGAACATATATTCCTACATACTTTCTTAAAGAGATAAACATATTGAAAATACACTAATTACCAGCATAAAAATGATGTGGTAACAACATCACTCTAGGATCTACAACAGTCTAAAACAGAACAAAAACATCACTTTTCAATAAAACCAAGGGTAAGCACCACAGAAAATGACTCTCTGAATACTGAGTATGACTTTTTAAAATATTTTTTAAGTAAGAAAAAAGTACTCATAAACTTGTGTTCTGGCCAACTAAATATCTTCTCTTAGAAGGCAGACATTGACATTATGTCAGTCTATCCTCCTCAGAAAACATTCTTCTTCAAAGTTCAAATGAGAAAGCATGTGCTTGCTCTCTATATATAAATAATACATTTCCTAGAGGTGGAAATCTGTTTTTGGCAATATCGAGTTACCCTCTCTCACTCTGCAGAAGCTTCAGTCCTTGACATTTACTCTCTCTTTTCTGAGAACAGATTGAAAGAGAGAAGTATGGGATCCTCTCAAACCTAAATCGATTATGTTTCGGTGTGCCTGTTGGTTTACAGTTTCTGAAACACACGATTCTCACAAATAGGCTTATTTTGTTGAGCAAAAATACAAAATAAGACAGAATAAACATACACAAACTTAAGAGAAGTACTGACACACTACCACCCCTCTTGACTTTGACAGCTCAAATAAATGAGCAGAACTGAAGATAAGCTCATGAGAGAACCAGGAAAAACACAAGGATGGGGATGTGACCAAGGACAGGATATCTTTAACATGAAGAATTAGGATTCTTCCATCATTACCTGGAATTCTTTTTGCTGCTTTCCCTCATTCCTATGAAAACTCTGAACAACACTTTTTCATAAACCATTTGATATGGTTTGGCTTAAAGAGATCAGTGATTACCATTTTGGAAAAGAAAAATATGTTTGTAAAATAGAAAGAAGAATTATAGTTTTTTAGTAAAATAGAAAAAGAAGAATTATAGTTTTTCATCTCTTTAAAGAAACACTTAATGAATTTCATATAATCTGACTTCATATAATTAAAATTATCTTCTTCAAAGCCACTTCCTTGATAATTAAGGGTAATGACAGCCAAAATTCCTAGAAGACAAATTTAACTTTTATTTTAAAATCATCTAGTGATAGAAGTGCTTATGAGTCAAAATTATTTTAAACATCATTTGGTTAATGGTGGATCTTCTACTGAAAGATTAATGGGTAAAGATTACATACCTTGTTTTTAAAATAAACCTCAATTGGCAAAATGAAACCAGCATACCCAGATTCTTCTACTTTGTAAGGTGGATCTTTGCACACTGCAACATTAAAAAAGAAAATAGGTAAGATGAGAATAAAGATAAAAAGGCATTCTTCTTTAAAAACAGAAAAGAATCCCATTCTACCATCCAGATCACATCCAATTTTCACAGCCCCTTGCTAATCCCCCAGTTTAGTTTCTATCCTTTATTTATCCTTTATCCTTTATTTATCTATCCTTTATTTCTTCTCCAGAAACTATAAAAATTTCTCCTATGTAAAGCAGATGTTTAAGTCATTTATTCAAATCTTGGTGAAGAATAGCTCATCACAGTCAGCCATTATTATTAATGAGTGAACTTCACTTGTTAGTACCCTGCCCTAAAGTTTTAGGGAAACTGAGGATTGCTCTCTATGATCCAAAGTTTGAAAAGAACTGTAAGCTTCCTAACAAGAGTATATCTATGTCTAGTCTTTGATGCAACTCGCTCCCCACCTTAAGTCCTGGCTTGTCTGAGATGTCCTGACTTCTATGCCATCCTTTCCTTAGAAAAATCCGAAACCCAGAGTTTCTCAATGACGCATAACCTGCCTCCTTCACATACTCAAAAGGAATGCTTACTGAAATATCACTATACATACAAACACTTAAGATCTAATCAAATTATAAGAACACACAAGAAACAATAAGGCTTTTATTTCTCATGGAGTTAAAAGGAAGCAAGGCTATTAGGCAAGCTCTTGGAGAATGAGAGACCCTAAGAAGCTAAACAGGGTTTTATTCCACTAAAATTTCAATTAAATGAAAATCAATCACAAGCCAATTGAAACCATGCTAGTTAAGACTGCATTTTGGTGGTATCACAAAGTAAACATGTACATGCCAAATATCAAGGCCACACACACTGATGCCCTCAGTCCTCTTCAGCAGTCCCTGCTTACCTGTCCCTTTGTCACCTACCAAAACCCCCCGTGCTTCATTCCAATGCATTTCCCCCAAATATGACCAGCATTTCCCTCCTGCGCATGGTTCTCCTTCTGTTCCTTCCACCACACCTTGAAGCTACTCTTAGTATCCTCCACAAATTCTAATTCTCATTCCTTCACAAGATCTTTCTAGACCACAGAGTATTACCATCTCTTTTCCTTTTATCCTCCGGAAAAGGTAAATGTCTGAATCAGTGCCCTGACTTTGAACAGAGTTCCTTATGACCATATATTGAAGGATCTTGTCTGCTAATTTCCTTTCACTTCTCAAGGACAGAAAGCACATTCACCTCAAGATGATAAAGAGTGTCAAGGGCTCAGGAGACAGCGGCCAGCATACTTGGGTGCCAATCCATGATCCTCCTCAGACTAGACGGCCTACCTCTGCAAAATTATTTCACCTCAGATCCCCGGGCTCCTCTTCAAGACAGTATGAAGACAAAATGGGGTGACTGTTATGGACTGAATGTTTGTATTCCCCTAAACCTCATAAATTGAAATACTATCAGGAGGTAGGAACTTTGGAAGGTGATTAGGTCTTGAAGGGGTAACCCTCATGAATGGGATTAGCCCCCTAGAAAGCTCTGTTGCCCCTTCCTCCAGGTGAGGACATAGTGAGAAGACAGCAGTCTGCAACTGAGGAGATCTCCCATGAGAATCCCACCATGCTGGCACTCTGATCTGGGACTTTCAGTATTGTTTATAAGCCATCCAGTGTATGGTACATTGACAAAGCATCTTGAACGGATAAGCAGAGTGATGTGTGTAAAAGATGCAGCACAGGGCCTGGCACACATAAGTTCTCAGTAAGTGACTCAAGCCAGGCAGGAAATCTAACTCTAAAACACCCAATTATCATGTAGCTTTTCTGGGTGAAAACAAAAAGCATGCAACAAGCAAAGCACCCTCAATTTGGGTCAGAGGACTCAAGTCCACAGCCCAGGACTGAATATTTTCTAGACAGCCTATGTTTTCTTTCCCTTTAAAGGAGAGGAAACACCATCTACACAACTGAAGGCATGGCCATCAGCAAACAAGGAGATTATATGCAGGGAAACGGGAGCACAAGGCATTTTTATTACAGAAGTGATGTTGATAATGTACATGAAAATCGGTTCAACATTAAGCAAAAATATGGTTACAAAAAGGCAAACTGAAGCCCACCTTAGAAAATTGCCCCAAAGTGACATCAGAAGAAGTAAATCAAAAATGAGCCATCTCACTTGACCTTATAAGTTTCTTTAATAGAGAAATGAAAAAGTGAAATGTTCAAGAGTGGCTCCAGTCTTGCATTTACTGACCACCTGTCGACTCATCATGAATATTCAAATACTGTGAACACCGGGGAGAAGAGAGAGAGTATCACTAAATGCATTGAGCAGCCCCTGCCCCACCTCAGCAAGAAGGCTAGTGTTACGCTCATGGCATTTCCAGGCGGCAGAGCTCCTTTTCAGAACAGCAGTTTCAGTGTCCAGGTTGCTTGGGATTAATCATGCCAACATCATTGGAAGGAAGTTTATTTTGTGGGCTGCTGCACATGCCAGAGAAGTTATAGCTGTTCCTCTACATACTCTTTTGTATAATTTATTTTCTCTATTTTGAATGCAAATTGCTCCTATTATCGGAAACAGCTGTTAGTGAGCATATCTTATCATTGAATGTCTTTGGATTTTTTCCCCCACTCTTTAAAGGAAATGACCTGCTATGTGCTAATATTCTATAGAAATGTGATTTTATAAGAAACTGTTTACCAACTCATACAATTATTTTTAAATGCAATAATTTCATCAATAACAATGAACAATGTCTGTAAAGCCATGAGTTCTTAATTAGAAGCAAACAATAGGAACGTTTTACACACAATAAAAAGGCTAGAAAATCATTAGCCATGTAAATAATAACTTACAGTTCTAATCAGAAGAAAGTCAAATTAGGGAAAGTTGTTTATTTATTTGAGTATTTTATGATCAGAATCATTAGTATGAGTTTCTTAGTTCAAAACAAGAAACACAAGTTAAAACTAAGAAACATTTTAGCCAGTAGGAATAGTATATTAGATATAAAGCAATTCTTTTTTCAACTAGTAGAACCATGTTTGGGAGGGATCACCTTCTGTCACTTGCAACACTTCTTCATTCAGAGTCTCTTCTCTCACTGCATCAAGTTTATGATATCTAAGCATTCTAAACACTTAAATTCATTCTTCCTCTTGATTGTTCAAGAATCACATGATCCTTAAGATCTATGTAATAAAAGGCCAAGTTTCAGAAGCTATTGAAGGAATATTCACCTTTAGAAAGCCATAAAAAATCTTTAGGTGACAATAAAATGGGAGAATTAACATTTACTTTTTAAATTCTCGTGTTTTGTTATATGCATATGCATTCCCACATATTAATTCAGGCAAAATCATTAAAAGCTTTTTTTCATCTGTAAAACCCAGCCCAGATGTTAACTCTGTCAGAACATTGGCCCTCTTCCATGATCTCGTTGCAATGAACAGGTTAGTAGGTAAGCCATTTACCTCTCAGACTCCTCCGCTAGACTGACCCCCCTCGAGGTCAGCAACCACATCATTAATCATATCTGTAATGCCTGACATTATCGTTGAGCCAAATAATATGTACTCAAAAATGTTTGTTAAATTTAACTCTTAAAAGACTCATGCTACCATTCACTAATTTACCATTGCCAAAGAAGTTGCTTTTTCAATAGAAGTGAGTTGACCTTAACCAATCAAACTCTTCTCCAAACTCCCTACAATCAACATAAACTTTTAAAACTTTTAAAAAATTGGTGCAGGTGATAGAAAAGTGTTGCCACAGAGGAAATTTTTCTTCAATACTGTGGAACTGGTCCTAGTTCTAAGGGTACCACATTTTAAGCAATGGAGTTAATCAACCCGGCCAGAAGATCTCTAAGGCCATTTTGAAACGAATACTCAACAGCCATAAATAATGGCTCCCCTTCTCCTCTCCCTCCACACATTACTACCCATGTGCTCCAAGACTAATTGGGAGAGATCTTCAAAACTCTCTTTGTCCAATTAATCCTATGTACCACATACGGTCTATTAGAATAGTATTTCGAAAATTCATGCCTGAGAAAAACAGGGCAAAGTTTTTGTTTAAAAAAAGCGTAATTGGGTTTAATTGCATTTTTCCCTGAAATGGCTTTTCAAAATAATAGACACAATATAGATTCAAATATATAATATGTAGCATGACACTAATCATACATTGACCAATAACCTATTTAATTTTTAGTTGGAAAACATGTACACAAGGAAGAAAAACACATGGAAAGGGGGAAAAGAAAATGATCTGGCAAAGTTTAAATAAGTAAGGACTTTTAATACATAAGAAGTCAAATCCTTACTTATTAAAAGTCCTTACTGAAAATTTTAATATTCTCATTTAGAAGTAAAGGATTTGACAAAGAGCTACACTTGGTACACAGAAATAAATGCTCCTTAAATGAATAAACTTATGCTTATAAAATAAATTACTCATATGTATATTCAATAAATAAATGTAATTAACAGGAGCCATGTTTTTTAGCACCAAAAGAAAAAATTCTGTCAACTCCATAAGACCTTCACTTAAACTTCAGAAATATTATTAGGCACCAGTTTTTTCCTGAAACCTCAGGAAAACAGCTTGTAGTCTCCTCTTCAGAGCATTCCTTTAGTCTACTTGTTTTAATGTTATGATTTATAGCCATCAGAATACTTTTGTTAAGAACACGGCCCAGTTGCCCATTGATAATTATTAGCTTTATTTACTATGCAGAGAGCCCTTCAGGAAGGAAACACAACGAACTCTCTCTATATAGACTGGTTATTACTACTGCTTTGTGCCAAATGTTCCTTTCAGCTTTAGCATTTTGGACTCCCTCACTTCCTGCTTCAGTTCCACCACATCAGAGCCCCCAGGAACGGGGCAAACAGGGTCCTGCTCAGTCCATCTCTCTGCTCCCAAACAGTTCTGCATGAGCATCTGGAAGTCTAGAGCCAGCGTCTGAAAGTCTGAGCACCAGAGGGTAGCTTACCGCACCTACCAGTAAACATGGC